ATACAGTTTCCACGCTTGGAACATGATGGCCTCCTGCACTCATGTGGAGGTTTTCTAAAATGGGGGTACCCCAAGTCAACCAAAATTAGATTATTGTAGTATTGAAATCTATGGTTTTGGGGATCCCCCATTTTAGGACACCTCCATTTAATTCTTTGGGGTTACATCTTAAACTTCACCCGTTTCTGTAAGGGTCTCACCATAGGCGACAGAGCTTTCAGCCAACAACTCCCCTGCATCATTGAGGCATGCCTCAGGTGGACCCCGGTGAGTTTCCTAAAATGGGGGATCCCCAAGTCACCTTGAGTTTCAATACTAAGACAATCTACATAAAATGGCCCAATTTGGGATGATTTGGGGGCACCACCATTTTAGGACTACTTATCATGGGATCTGCACCTGTGAGCCTTGTGCTCTGGTCATTCAACGGGGACTAGGGACCTGGCCATTACGTTTCTCCTTTAGGCAAATATACCACCAATGGTAGCTTGGTTTGGATCACACGGGAAATCTGGAAAAGACTTGCAGCATCTTGCAATCCACACAATGGTCATCCCGCTCATATGCACAGGTGGTTGGTGGTTTAACTGGAAACCAGAACGATTTCCCAGCCATCTTTGGAGATTTCGCCACGTTTGACGACACAGGAGGCTATCCCATTCCTATATCCCAGTGGTTCCATCAGTTCATATCAGTTCCATCATAAGTTCCATCCCCCTATGTGATACTTAGCCTCTGGTTATGACTAACAGTTCGCCATGGTTTTTCCATGGTCCATTTATCGAAATAGATGGTTTACCTAGCTATACAATGGTGATTTTCTAGTAAATAACCATCTATTTGGGATTTACCATTTGGTTCCATGGCTATATATGTTAGTCATAACCAGCCATGGTAAATCCCTGGTGAAATCCCCCTGGTGAAGTCCAAATGGGGCCCCTCACGGCTCGGCAGCCCGAGGTGCCAAAGTCGATCCCAATGAAGACCTGGATGAAAGTCCCTCTGTGGACCCAAAAATCTCAGGGGAAAACATGGGAAAACATAGGGGGAAAGCAATGAAAGCAATCAACATAGGGAAAATATAGGGGAAAACATTGTAACCCCCCTGTAAATGGAGCTTTTGATGGGACTTTTGTCAGAAAATATCCGGAAATATGTGGAACACCCACGAAAGAAGGAGATTTTAATGGCTAACTCGTGGAACTAAATGGGGAATTGTCTAGCAAACCATATTTGATTGCCGGATGGTATATGGATGCTTTTTCCCCGGTGCTAGTGGTGGCAGACTTGCACATAGCCCCTTGTTGTGGATGATTGGAAGAAGGGGGCAGCATGTGCTTATTTCACTAGGATATATATATATATACATACATACATAAATAAATATATATATATATATGATATATATATATATAATTGTATATATTTCATACGCATGTATATGAATTTATGGAACGACCGGCTTGTAACTATCATGTTGAGTGATTGGACGTAGTAGCTTAGCCAACGCAGTACCAACGTATAGTCGAAAGAAGCCCGTGTGTCTGGAAATCAGCCACAAACTTGAACCCTAATACTGGTTGGCGGCACCACCATTAAACAAACATATATGCAACAGTCATTGGGGATCATCATCCCATTTCTAAAAATGAAACAACCATAAATCACCAAACCAATACAGTAAAAGGGGTTGGTTGTTCCTAGGGGGGGTCCAGCCCCTGAAATAGTAGACCCCAGTGGCTGTTTTCCAGAGGGGCCTGACCCCCCCCATACCCCTTTTGAGCATTTCTGAATGGATAAAATCTAGGGGCCCAAGTCTAGCATTCGTAAACCAAACATTTTTGCTAACACTCAACTTGGACAAAGGAACCAATACTTTGGAGCATTTTGGACGTTCAAAAATGATCAAAAGTCAGGCCCCTCAAAATATTTTGGGCATGTTGTGAATATTTAGGACATACATGTTTTATCTGTGAATCTTATGAAACCATGGACCTCCTGGATTTTAGCCATCGATTTTTTCTGCATGCCTCAGATAAGCTGGCCACTTTCAAAGGTTTTCAACGGAGATAAAGTTGATAAACATGTCATAACTATCTTCCCAAGAACACACTTTCTGCGCACCTTTAACGCCATTTTTCTTAGAGAGATTCATCTATCAAGGTTAGCGGGTACAGATGTTATTTTCAGGCTTCCCCTCCAAGTTTCAAGAGCAAAGATTGGACAAGGCGAGGTGTTGGTTTCCAGGATTTGGTAGCCTTTTTTGGAATCAATTTCAGTGTGTCCTTGATGTGCAGGAGACTTTGTTCTGGATTTACTTTTAACAAATATGATAAAGGTAAACATTTCAGAACTGTCCCAAGTAAATAAACTTAGTGCAAGTTTTTTGACGCCAATTTTGCAGAGAGGTTGATATCTCAAGGTTGGGCACACAGGTTTTATTTGCTGGAACTGAAGATGGACAGGGTGAGATGCTGGTATCCAGGATTTGGTTGCATGCTTTTTGAGATCAATTTCAATATTTGTCCTTGATGTGAAAGTTCAAAGAATGACGTTCAAAAGAGATAATATTGACAGGGTTTCCGTGACACATCAATCAAGGTTGTTTTTTTTTCCCTTTCCAATCCAAGGTGTAGGTTGGACCTAAACTGAAGGGGGCGGCATCTGAAAATAAAATAGATACCAAGCCTCAAGTAAGATAAAAATAAAATTCAAAGGCCCAACCTTCATAACATCAAAAGGCCTAACCTCAAGTTGGGATCAGATAAAATCCAAGGGTCTCGCCCCTCTTGAATCCTCTTTCGAATCGAATGCCCTTGAGGGGCCCTGGGGGGCCCTGGGGGGGTCGGAGCCCTTGGAATTTATCTCACACATAGGGCCACGATAAAATCTAGCAAGTGTGCTGCTAAAATCTGGGGCCCAATCTTCAAATTTACTGAAAAAACTAAAACATATATTCTGCACCTCAGGGGCTGGAGCTCCTAAATCTCGTTGGAACTGCAATCAAAGTAGGTTGGAGCTAAAATCAAGGGGCTGAACCTTTGAAAATATAAGATAGGTACCAAATCTCAAGTAGGATGAAAATAAAATTCACTGAGCCCAACCTTCCAAAGATAAAATCAAGGTGCCTGACCTGAAATTGGAGTGAGATAAAATCCAAGGGGCTGGACCCCCCCCCTTGGGTCCTCTTTGGAAGCGAGTACCCTTGAGGGGACCTAGGGGGGTCCAGCCTCTTAGAATTTATCTCACACTTATGATCGAGATAAAATCTAGCATGTCTGCAGATAAAATCAAGGGACCTATCGTCATTTTTACTAAGGCTTAAAAAAAATAGCCATGCACCCCAAGGGGCTGGAGCTCCTAGATCTCAGCTGGGAGCTCCCAACCCCGTTTACAGTATATCTGGGTACATCTAGCCTGAAATGCTCGGCCAACTATGGGGATGGCCCATTAATCATAACCGTTCATAACCATGATTCCACGCTGCGGTCACCGTGACGTCACTGTGGCTCTGTTGAATGACCTGTCTGTTCCTTTACGCTGCTCCGAGAGTGGAAAGGCTTGAAAACAAAAGGGTGTTACATGTGCTTCAACATATCGACCAATCACAGCAAATTGCCAAGCTGCAAGGCTGCAAGCATCCCAAATCATGCAACGTTGTTCTTGCAAATGGTAAGGATAAACTGATTGCCTAAATAGTGTCATATAATCTAATCCATCAGGAAAGCCAAACATGACAAGCTCAACTATGCCATTTCTGCAGATACGGCATATTTTTTTTGTGTTGGGCCCTAGGCCCTGCAGCCACAAACATCCAAACTGAACAGGCCCAACTGGAGCCTTCTCGTCGGAACCTGGCCGGGAATGATTCAAGCTGGGAGGCTTGAAACAATCCTCCCATGTTGACCTGTTTTTCTATGCGTTTGAAAGGGAAAATGCCATTGATAATGCCATCTTAAATGTATGCCATAAATGCCATTGATAATGCCATACATGCCATTTGATAGTGGGTTTGCCATTTTTGCCATTTTTGTCGACATGTTTTGCCATTGATAATGGGGGTTCCCTTCAAAAAGTGCGCTCTGCCGGGCATTTTTGAACGTTAGACGCTGGTCTTTGCAACTGGACTGACGCAGCCTGGCCCGTCAGTTGGGCCTCAGACCGAAGCGCGCTACCCACTCTGCGGTCTGAAGGGCTGGTGGCTTGGAAGAGCAGCCAAGGGCAAGGGCTGGGCAGAAATTACACTACCCACCCTTGGATGTCACACACACAATAAATAAATACATACATAAACATAAACAAATGAATATATATATATAAAAATAATTATATAAATGATTATATATATATGATTATATATATATGTGATTAAACATGATTAAATATGATTACATATGATTATAGATGATGATACATGATGATACATATTATATATATATATATATATGTTTGTGTTATGCATTCGCATCTTGACTAGGTTGTTTTCTCTTGGGTCGTCAGCTGTCATGGTACCAGTACTGCCCTTGTCATAGGATCTTTGCCACTGCCGCGAGCATCCGCAGCACATCTCTTTGAGGTGGCTGTGCAGTGACCAAACGGGCCAATGGATCAATGACATGGCGACCATTTTCACCTTCAAATTTGCCGAACACTTTTGCAGCAACCCGGATGCATGAACCATGGATTGGGGAGTACATGTCATACCTGATTTGTTAATCCTGGAGGTACCCCCTAATCATAATCAAACAAAATATTCCTCCGGGGTCAACATCAGCAACCATCACTTGGATATGCTTAAGAGCCCTGACAAAAAGAAGAAATAGTCCCACGAATAAATTCCCCAGATTAACCAATGGCAAAATAGAAAATCACGGCAAATCTAATTTCAGTGAATTCAACCATTAGTGATTCTTTAACCAGTCGATCACCAATTAATCCAATTAACCAATGTCAATAGAATATTCCAGTAGGCCATCAATATTAACAACTCACCAGTGAATCTATTCCAATGGTCGACCCACCGCCCGTATAGAATACATGCGTGGCTCAGTCTTGCCTGGGCGACCTGCAAAGGCATTTGGGACAATTTAAGACCCAGGAAACCAGAGATTTTCGTCATTTTTTTTCGTGTTCACCATCTAAATCAAAGTCTTGGGTACCACAGTTTTGAGTCATATAGGGGCATATCCATAGCGTGTAATCATTGGAGGTTTCTCCAAAGATCCATCATATTGCCCACTGCAACGACCAAAAGAGAACATGTTGTGTCAAAGATGAATTGGAAACTCAGCTGGGGAAAGCGTGCGCCTTCCGGAGTTTGATTAACAAACATATAGGGGAAACACGCATTGGAATTCAAACCATAAAGTTGCAATTCCAACAGGGCCATCCTTGATTTCAATCAAGGAGATGTTTTAGATGGCCGAAAGAATTTCATTATACAAAACCAATGTCATGATCTGGTCTGCACTGAGGATTTTATTCGGACGCTGCCTCTGAAAGCACAACCTGGTAAGCACAATGCATGGAGTGGTTTTGTGCCCGTTCTACTTGGAACATCAAAGCTTTTGCGTATGAGTCAAACGCATTTAGATCCAGGAAATCACGCAATTTATATAGTAACTAGAGTTTTGCTGACAAATAAGTACCCCTACCCAATTTCACTTGGCTCACCAATCTGTACCATTCCTTCTGCCCAGCCTTGCTTTTCAATCAGATGTCTCTAATGTCCAAGTGGCGTGTCAAATCTTACAACCTAAAACACATCACGTTTCCAGTGCCCATTCCATAAACGAGTCCGTTGGAAACCTCCCAAGCAGTCTCAAAATCAAACAACAACTCAAGAACAGTGGTTGGTCAATGGGGCCCCATGTCATGGACTATGATAATCCGGCATGTTAATATGCAAGGGTAGTTTGACAGGTCATTGAGTGAGATAATTGGTGAATCACTCGGATACATCCCATTGTATATTGTAATTGGTCATTGTATATTGTAGGAGGTTATAAGTTATAACTTATAACTTATAACCCTCTTGCCAGCAGATTGCAACTACATGGCCCATCTATGTAAGTATAACTCCCATAATTGAATCATCAACCAACCGATTCATGTTTTTCAACAATCCTCACATAGATTCATGACACTATTGCTTCAAAGAGAGGGCTCGGTCCTTCAGCCAACTAATGCTCCTAATGCACTCCAAGGACGCGTTTGGAGCTCAAACACCAACCCCAAATACAGTCTCAGGTATTCGAAGCTGTTGGGATAATAAATTCATACCTGGAATATCCAATATATATAAATATAATGTGATATGTAAACAACTCCATGCAAGTATCACCACCTATAGATGAAATATTGACATCCCATGTTAAACATATAGGTATATTATATATTAAAAAAAAAAACTTATATTTACACACACATACATACATATATATGTATAAACGTATTTAACTATATAATATATATATATAGTATATATATATAATATATTTATATATATATTTATTTATTTATTTAAAATTACATATTTAATTATATAGATTATATATAGTTATTATTTAGTTATTTAAATTCACATATTCCCGAATATTCTCATCTCAAGCCAGCCGTTTGTCGTTTCGCCCCCGGATCGGCTCCAGGCCTTTGCTCGACCCGCAAGGGCGACAGCTCTTCGGGCAGCGTCCCTGGCACCGGTGGCATCACCCGCCGCTCCGATTCGGGCGTGGGCACCGAGGAGGTCGACTTCACCTAGCGCCGTGCTAGGCCAAGGCATGAGAACCAAGGGATTTCATAGGAATTTCATAAGGAACATCTAGAGAAATATGTAGAAATGATAGGAAAATAAAGGAACTATGAGAATATCATGGGAAAATAGTGGGAACATAATAGAAAATATGAGGTTATGATGGGAAAATATGGTGAACATAGGATATCATTGGCTAATCTGGGGTCAATACATGTTAATACTATGTTTATCTATACTTAGGTGGGCCATGGTTCGTTCGTTAGGAAGCGCTAATCCCATGGCCCATCAAAATGGTGACCCTGGGATGAGATGGGTTCATGACATGGCATTTACCTACACCATCCTATACCTATGTTAGAGAAAATGTTCAAATGAAAGTGGACAGCTTTGAACTGCCAGCGACCCACCATTTCGATCCATTTTTGGCAACTCCGAGCAAACTATCAAAGTTGTAGCATGAGCTAAAAGCAAAATGATTGCAATGATCGGTCCTCATTGCAAATATCTAAATACTTTCTGGCACACCAACCTGAGTCCCATATGCTCAATGTATGGTATATTTACCTACATTTGGGTGTTTCTTGGGGCAAATGATGGAAAAATATTCCATACATGGAGCATATGGGAGTTGCTAGAAGATTATTGTTTCTTCTAGCGAGCACATGGCTTCCCGGTGAAATAGAGGATTGACCAGTCATCTGGGTTGGTTTGACAGATGGTGGGCATGTGCACATATGTATATATATATATATATGTAGTTGTTCTATCTATATCTATCTATGTCTATCTATATCTATCTATATCTGTCTATATCTATCTAAATCTATCCAAATCTATCCATATCTATCCATATCTATCTATATCTATCTAGATCTATCTATCTATCTATCTATCTATCTATATGTACCTCTATCTATCTATCTATCTATCTATATCTATCTATCTATCTATCTATATCTACCTATATCTACCTATCTATCTATCTATCTACCTACCTATCTATCTATCTATCTACCTACCTATCTATCTATCTATCTATCTACCTATATCTCTATCTATCTATCTATCTATTTATCTATCTCTATCTATCTATCTATATCTATCTATATCTATCTATATCTATCTATATCTATCTATATCTATCTATATCTATCTATATCTATCTATATCTATCTATATCTATCTATATCTATCTATCTATATCTATCTATCTATATCAATCTATATCTATCTATATCTATCTATATCTATCTATCTATCTATCTATATCTACCTATATCTACCTATCTATCTATCTATCTACCTACCTATCTATCTATCTATCTATATCAATCAATCTATCTATCTATCTATCTATCTATATGTTTATCTATCTATCTATCTATCGATCGATCTATCTATCTATCTATATCAATCTATATCAATCTATATCAATCTATATCTATCTATCTATCTATCTATCTATCTATATCTATATTTATATCTATATCTATATCTATATCTATCTATCTATCTATCTATCTATCTATCTATCTATCTATCTATCTATCTATCTATCTATCTATATCAATCTATATCTATCTATATCTATCTATATCTATCTATATCAATCTATATCTATCTATATCTATCTACAGTATATCTATCCATATCTATCTATATCTATCTATATCTATCTATATCTATCTATATCTATCTATATCTATCTGTCTGTCTGTCTGTCTGTATGTACGTATGTACGTACGTACGTATGTACATTGTACATGCACACACACACATTTGTATATATATATATATATATATATGCGTTAAATGTGCATACATATAATTATACATATATACAAAGTTGATTGTTTTACGAAGCCCTCTTGAAAAGTCGACGGGCAGTGCAAGTGCAAGAAAAAACAATAATATTTTCTTACATGACATTGCATGATATTACATCTATACATTCTAATTATAGCAAACACACACTGACCAGTGAATGAATAATTAAAAAATAAAATGCAACAACCAGTGAGAGTTGAATCTTGAAAGCTTCCCCAGCCCAGAATAGTTCCAGCAGCTCCGTCAAGTGGCGTCCAGGGACTCCAACTTGCTCTCTTGGCTACCCGACTTCCCTGACGAAGCGGTGTACTTTGGGCTGACCAGTAAAGTGGGTTATAACCCAAATATAATTGGAGTATACCCTATGTAGCTGCTTATTAACATTTATTAACCAGAGTGCTGTATTGAAAAGACTCAGTCGATTTGCCCAAACACCAAGGCAGTCACAAAGATCGCCCTCAAGGAAATTTGACGGCACAGTTTCGCCAAGTCCTATCATATATTCCTGACTATATGGGGGTTCTTAAAATAGTGGATCCCCAAGTCACCATGGGTTTGTTTATACATGTCAATGGTCTATGCTTGGATGATTTGGGGCTGCCCCCATGACTCAGGAAACCTCCAGATGTTGATGTTGATGAGCTGGTTTCTATAGATTATCTTCCTTCTAAAACCTCCATCTATATGTCCCTCTGACATTCCCATATGTTGACTAGATTTTCCCATCATATGTTCATATTTCCCAATATTTTCACTTGATATTCTCCTATTTCTTATATGTTACCATCATGTTCACATATTCCTCTATATTTCCCAACATCTTCCACATAAGTGTCCATTGCCAAACTTAGTTAGACCCATGGTGAACCGTTGGCGTCAGCACCAAGCTGCCCAATCTCTGGGGAGTCCGTTGGCGTTTCAGCTTCAGTGCCTGCGCATGTTGTTGGATGTAGTCGGTCATTTAGCCTATGCAAAGTCATCATTTTCAATAATTAAATTTGAAAATCGATCATCAAAAATGAATGGGCCGTTTTCCATAGCTATTCTAGATTACCAGAGGCTATGAGGAGGTAATCTAAGTACTCTCTTTCTCTCTTTTTGGGTGTCCAGGGAGTCCCTGTAAGGGCTGGGTTGGCTACCCTGGCATAGCCAAAATCGGCCCCAGATTACCAGCACGCCTGAGCAAGAATGCCGCGGTGCGCCGCCATGCGAACGCAATATCTTCTCACGATCCTTGGCCGAGATCTAACGGGGATATACCAGTATTATGGGGAATATAGTGGTGTTGGGGGTAAACACACACACACATATATATATATATATAATTGTATATATATATATTATATATATATATATTATACATATATATATATATATATATGTGTATATATATAATTATATATATAATTATATATATATATATAGATATATTATAATTATACATATCGTATATTAATATATCTATTGGCATCCGGGTTCGAATTTGGGGGGAGGGGTCGCACCTGGCTTCTTTCAAGCATAAACTGGTTGGATTTTGAAAACCTTTATAAAATAGATCGGTTTTTGGGAATTGGGCCCTTACAAAAAGCATAGGCTTTTAGCCCCCACATTCGACTCTAAAACCGTCATCATTTTGTAAGGTGACAACTTTTTTCATGATATGAATGTTGTATCCCACTCGATGACCTTTTTTATAAGAAATTGTGATTTCAGATAGCATTTTTGAGTATATATCATTTTGTAAGGCAACAACTTCTGGTTCCCTGCTTTCTTTTCTCGGTCTCGTTGCTTTTCAAGCAGCCCTTTTGTAAGATTCCTTTTCTTTGCCACCTTTTGTATGTTTGTATGTTTGTTTCTTTGGCATCATTGCCTACCAGAACTCCTGTCATGATGTCTTGCGTTTGTGCTATCACATGAGTACCAAAAAAGTACATAAAAGTTGAACACGAAAGAACATGTACAAAATAAAAATACGAGATAGCCGTGAGCGTAGCCAGACTTACAACTTGCAAAAGTTTCCTGGCCGACACAACACCCGTTGAGAAGAAAGTTGGTGCCTCCACCAAATCCAAAAAGAAATTAAACTCAAAATGGCTGCCATAGAACTTGGACTGTGCCTTACAAAATGACAAGGTGCTTGTAGCCCCAGAAAGCTGCCATGAAAGGGTGTTTTACATTGTGCTGTCAGCACTGTGGTTTGGAAAGTAGCCAAAACAGCTATCAAATTATTGAGTTGAATCAAAAACATGTACGGATCTGAACAATAATTTGTATCATTGCCTAAAAAACACATATATATATATTTCCTTACAAATGGTTCTTCTACTCTTGACGACATCTCCTTACAAAATGTCATTGCACACCCTGCTGTGTTTTTTCAATGTTCAATAACAACATCTTGAGCTTACAAAAAGCCTCAAAAAAACAAACTCGATGGTCTGATAGAATGAGTTGGCCCCTTAAAACTGTTACAAAATGAACACTTCAAAATCTACAACTTTGCCTTTTAGGTGTCCTGTTACAAAATGCCCGGTTAGGGGGCTTCTTGTAACTACAAAATGCCTATATATAAATCATCTATATATAAGAGGGTCGACCCCGTCCAAATTATAAGGGAAATTCCAACGGGGATCTATTGGCCAATTTTGTGATATAGTTATGCAATATTGTATATAGTATCAGGGTGATATAAAAATTAAGGAACAATCAAACTCCAGCAAACGTACAAGAAGATATGGAAAAAACAGCGTTCAATGATGTTCAATGTAGATCACGTCCGAAGGCGAAAGCCGTGGGTTTCCGTAGTTATGTTTGTTTATTTGGAGGTAAAGGATGGTAAAGGGGCATTTACTCAGACTGAAAGGAAGTTTCGTGGGAGTTGGTTGTTTCGCGGGAGATGGTTGCAAGAAGTAAAGGGTCAAGATGCAATACAACAGCCTTGAAATTATTAGACAAATGCTTGATGAATGAAGTGGATGTGCCCTGATGGCTGATGCTGATTATGATTAAAAACTGATGATGATTTGGGAGTTACAAGCAACCACATTTTGGAGTTAGAAGCGAGCACAAAACATGGAGTTACAAGCGAGACATCGCCCATATTCAAGGTTTCCCACCCAGAACGCCAATCTGATACAATCTGATATATCATTCCGGAAAAATGCTTCCAAAATTGTTTTTCATTGCCCCTCATGATACTCTCTCTCCATCACACGTCATGACACTGGTCCCCTATGTCTTTTTGGTTATTGATGGCCAATCTTAGACACCTTGAAAAGACTTAGGTCAGTAAATGGCCCCATGATTCGCAACTCAAATATGGACATTGCCATGCAAGGTTAAGGTTGTCCCAAACATCATACGCGTTGTACCTAGCCTAGCATTCTATTTACTATACATGTGCACAACATGTTTTTGGTTGTCATGTATAGTTGCACATTGGGATGTTTGTATTTGGATATATAGCTATAGAATTGATAAGTCCCGTTAAGTCCATGTGTTTTTGTGTCATGTTGGCATCTATATATTAGGATAATTACATCGTTATATATAATTATATATAGATATGTCCCTATTGTGGGAATTTGGTGAAAATAGATTATTGCATCTCATTATGTTTCTAACTGCTATATCCCCTTTAAAGCCTAGTGTGTATAAATACCCAAAGTCAAAGGGGTTTTCTGTTGCCACTAAAGCATCGTCTTCAGCTGAGGGCAGGTAGCTTCTCGCCGACCCACCACCTGATGGAACGCATAATTAAATGAGTTGAATAATCAACGTATGCACACACACAATATATATATACATACATATGTATGTATGATAATGTAAATGATATATACAAAACAAATAGTTTGTGTATATATATATATGTGATATATATATATATATGATATGTATATTACAAAATGTAATATAACATGAGCAAGCATTCAACTAAATACATAAGATACAACACAATTGAAATATAATCAGGAAAGAAAACAACATAATGCATATTATATATTATATATATGCGGAACTATTCGTTATATATAGACATATGAAACTATACATTTTCTTATCTAATCCTGAAGCCCCTGAACTCGCCAACATGAAACCGCTCTGAAATATTGGCGTGGTCCAACATGAAAGCCATCTTTGGGACAGCTGACAATAGCAGCTTCTGGGAATATCTGGGAATGTACGGCAGGAGTGACATTCTGAAAACCGATTGCGCCAGGGAACAAAGATATCATGACTTAATTCGTTCCATTTCAAAGTCTACCGTTTTCTGACTGCCGGGCAATATCCGATTCCACCCAACTAGACAAGATAGAGGTATTTATATCTTCATGGACCCTATCCTCATATGCTAGCGAAGAGGACACTCCGATTAAACACACACACACACATATATATATATATACATGACTGAATTTTCCTTTAGCGGCTTTGCGACTGATTCAAATTATATAGTATCAATCTCTGATAGGAAATCTGCACCTGTGGATACAAAATGGATTTCTCCAAAGTTTAAATCTACTTCATATACCCTCCGGTAATCAGACATGGCAATGGACAATCACCAATTTACATAATCTTCCAATTAAAAGCTCCATTTAGTGTGGATTTCACCAGACTCCCATCATTTCCCATCACTACTGAATGCTACTCTGACTCACGACCCTCCGATCTGTGGGCCTCGAAAAACTTGTCCCGGCTCAAGCACAGGACTTCTAGGTACGTCCTAAGGGAATCCTTCTGCGAAAATGGGGTACCTTTGGGCCTTTGATCCTTCAAAGGGCGGGGCAGTTCTGTTCTACTTTCAAGGGAGACGAGCACTTCCTTGTCTTTGCATCTCAACCTAGCTCTGCTTCAGAGTTTAGAGTGTCAGTCCATTCAAAAAATCGGAGCCGTTTGCTCTGTACAAACACCCTTCCCCCACACAAAACGGACTTATGTTCACAAAATCTATCCATCTTTGTTCCCAAAACATCCCAAAACCAGGTCGCACAATCTCACCAAACATGGATTGCAAAACCCACTCAACAACAAGTTTTCCAGTTTTTCGCGTCCCCTCATCGTTGTTCCCCCCACGGCGGTTGAAAAATCCCCGCCGCGTGGCAGGGCGAAGGCCGACGTGCGCCGGATCAAGTCGCGGTCTGCCAAAACGAAGTCTTCACCCCAAACGGAGCCTGGCTTCGCCACAACTGACGGGTCAGCTGCCATGGACCGATGGAGTGGTTTCCTTGGGATAACCTAGAGGTTTCACCATGGTTTTGAATAGACATTCATCAGTTTTAATACAGTAATGATTTAACCAAAGTTGGACTTAAGATAGTGGACATATTATAGGAATCGTATAGTTCTATGATCATGTGGGATATCACGTGGTAATAAATATAACGAATATAGTGCGAATATAATTCTTGAGATGTAGCTAGGAAGCTAATTGAGGGTATTAAGAAGATATGTGCGGTATACGTACAGTATGGGCATAGAATGTGGTACTCAGTGGATTGATTTAAGGAACAAACCTACAGGAACGATTTAATCATTGGTATTGAACATGAAGTAGGCTGTTTACTAACAAACATTGGGGTTACAACCATATTTGAGTTGCTTGACCGTGTATATATGTGAGTTGCTTGACCGTTGACAATTTGCAGTTGATCTACGGGGTTAATCTACAAATATCAATTTAGAAATAATGGGGTGGACCAATGATAATATATATACACATCTTATATGCACATCGCACACAAACATATATGCAATTGTGTATATGCAATTGAAGATAACTATATATTTGCATATATTGACATATGACATTATGACGTATATTTACATATTTTGACACCATGGGTTAAGCTACAAACGCTGGAATCCGCCAATTGACCTGGGAGCTTTGAGTCGGAAGCCCAAGCATCCCCAGTAACCAATCATTTTGGGGTTCTCCATTCATTGGCCCGATTTAATCAGCAACTTCGGTTGACATCAAAAGTGGGCTGCTTGTAATTGGTTTAACCATAAGAAACATAACTGGTAGAACTGGTTTATATGGTTTATCTGGATTTATCTGGAATGTATTTGCATGGTATACCTTAACTGGTGAAAAACAATAAGAAACTACATCTTTTCCCGTCTTTTCCACCGGTGTCTGCACATCGATATCAAGGCACCCACCAAGGCCACGCGGCCTTGGCACCAGAAAATGTTGGTGGTCAAGTATCCCCTATATGTCATTCCCATGTTTTACTGTGTTTAATGGTTGCCAATAGTGTATGAACTTATTTTGTAGAGAATAAGGAACCTAAATTTTCTTATCAATATGTGTTCAGAAACATGAGCAATCATGAGCATGATCCTGCATAACCCTGCCCGGGTATAAAGAAGATCCTACAAGTAACGTGTAATTGTGTACGAGTGTCAGGTTCCACAAATTATGGTAATACTCAAACCAATAGAACAGTAATGTATCATAATATACCACTGTTTGAGGATTGTATATCACTGTTCTATCTTTCTGGGTGTTGCCATGCATGGATGGAAGAGAAGAAAAAGGCGATTCCTTCTCAGATTTCCACGTGCGGAACATTGAGGGGAAAGTTAATGTCATCAATGCAACCCGCGACCAGCTCCATAACAAAGAAACCTTCCTACTCAACCTGTTTTGTTTGGTGAATCTGTCAGGATCTATCCATTTCTTCGGCCCAGTGCGGGGAGTTGTTGATAACGGCATGAGATTTAATTGTCAGATTGGTAACGGAAACACATAAGTCTCATGTAATGCCTGCCAGTTGCGGTACATTTCTTCACCAGACTTCTGGGACCTTCTGGGGTCATGTCTTTGGGCCTCATCACAGGATAGGGATAATAATAATAGTGGCCGAAGCAGTTGCGGGGCTGAGTGCCTGCTGCTGATTAACAATGTCTACCCAGAAACAACTGCGAGGCTGCCCCTAAAGGTAGCAAAACCATTCTATTTCTTCCACAAACATGACTCAAACAGCCTAGGCGAACCCACTTGTGTGTATATATCATATATAAAGATGTGGGCCGCAGTTAGTTTAACTGCTGAAGATAGCTGGACTAGAAACTCGATTGGTTCAAATTGGTTCACTGACCACGATCGCCAGTTCCAGACCGACCAGAACCACGCATGCGACGCTCGGCCCAGCGGCTATTCAATGTTGCAATACCCTTGGACAGGATGTAAAGCACCTGGTGTAGGTAAATTATGTGCAGAAAGCCCACAGATGCGTTTTTTTTTGCAATCCACAAAAATGATGGTGTAACTGTCAAAGATGGCAGTTTAACCAGCTAAAATATGGGTTTAACATGATTTAACACGTGAACATGTCTAAAAACATTCACACATAATAATAACACTAGCCTCGGTGGAAGCCAGTCCCCTGTTTAAGCGAGCAATCTTCGACAAAAAAGGGAAACCATCTGTCTTTGTCGTTGTTTTACGTTTAGTCGGGGTCAACTGTATAGCATCATCTGGGATGTACCGAAACGCGCCGCAACTTCGACCCAAAGCGACATGACTTGGCCTGCGATTCTCCAAACATTTCCTGCTGGGCATAGGCGCTCGCGTCCTGCGAAGGGCTGCATCGGAATGGGGTCAGCTGAGGGTAACTAGGACCCGGTGATGCAAGTGCCACTTGGATCTGTTCAATCGGTGGATGGTTTGATAGCACATACCCTCTGGTAAATTAACATAGCTATTGAAAATGGCTATTTGTAGTGGATTTACCCATTGAAAATGGGGATTTTCCATAGTTAACTGTTAGTTTACCAGAGGGTATTTGTAAGCATCTCAACCTCTAAAACTGAGAAAACTACAGGGCCCCACCACATGTGGTGGCTGAAAACTGCTGAAAAAATTGCCCCTAACACGAAGTACAGCAACAAAGTAAATCCTGGGATACATCATGTGTACCAAAAAAAAAACACCACTCTTCCAACTCTTATGTAAATCAATATAAACTATATAACTTGACCTTAAGTCTTAAGTTTTGCCCACTGCCAACTGTTCAGCCACTCCCCCGGTGTCCATGTGGTGGGCCACATCTGCGATGCAAGCGCGATAGGGATCGGTATTGATTCCACTCATCTCCTGCCACCGGGCGGAAGACACATCCTTCACGAATGCCATTACTAATATAGCCATTATTACTAATACCATCTGGTTATGACTAACATAGCCATGGAAAATCCCTTATAAATGGAGGTATCTAGCTGGGAAAATCATCTATAAATGGGCCATTTTCCATGGCTATGTTAAATAACCAGAGGGTATATATATATATATATTTACTAATATTAATCAACCATCCTTAGCCATTACCAATATTATCAACCATCCTTAATCCTTAGCCATTGTCACTAATCATTGGGTATATCACCATTATGATTGGTAACCTGGTCACTAACCTGAGAAGCTCTGCTATTTTAGGATAGTTATCCCAGTTATCCCTTTTACAATTCGCGCAAATTCCAGCGACGTCACGGCGTAAGGGTGGTAGAGATATCGAGGCATATCATGAAATATCTTACTTGTACCGTACCCCCATTATGGATGGTTGCTAGAACCACCAGCTAACCAGCATGGCTATCATAACCCGCTCATAGTCACAAATGGATAAGCACAAACCGGTGGCAAGAAATGTGACGATTCTGGGATTCACAAACTACTGATGAATTGGCTGTATATAGTATATATAATACATGCATATAACAATTCCCAAAAAGGAAGAACCGTAATTTTCCATTATTTTCATGGAACTTGACATTTCTATCTTTGTGGAGTTTGCTGAATAAAGCATAGTAAAGCTATATACATTCCAATCGCTTGGAGGACTTCCTGGCCATGTTTCTTTTCACCACTGGGATGTCACAACCATGGAAGTACAGCTTCTGGACGGCAGTTGCTCCGAACAATGACAGGATCGACCTAAACTGAGAGATTCGCCCAAGATTCACCATCATTTCTGGGTGGTCGGTCAATTTCGGTCGGCAGAAAAACATGGTTAAAAGTGATGATGGCCCGCGTTGCGCAGCAGTCCTTGATATCCATCATCTTGATGAACTCGCGGAAGAAGGGCACTTTCACCAGCCACTGCCAGTTCCTCAGGAAGTGTCACAAGAAGAGGTCAGAATCGTAAACTTCAACGTGCAGTCTTGGGGGAAAACAAAGGAAACGAATCAAAAATCAGCCTCTGAATCCTCATAGTCCTGGCGGAGGTTTCACTGTAATTTTGGTGGCTGGATGGCCCCTGCTGTCCGCAAACTATGAGCTCTAGAATGTTCTATCTGATATAGTTCACAGGCGAGAAAACACACTGAATAATTCACAATAAGTCCAAGACCTGCTATAAACCCAGGCAGCTGACAAATAGTCCAAGGTACATCAAGGTACTATACCATGATTCCATCCCCATTGTTTGGTGGTGAATGACCTGACTTGTGCACATGTTCATGCTTTGGTCTTATCCATTCCCTTTAGTAAAACTTCGTTCAGCACACATGAACCGCACCAAGGAACAACGTGATGGATACCTCAGCCTGCAGTTGAGGGCTCATGCCCCGAAGCAGCTTCTGATCTCTAGCCTTGAAGCTGGAGCGCAGCAGGGGGTGGGGTGATGGGGTGCGGAGGGGCGGAAGATGGAGCGGAACATGCTGGCAAGTTTTAGTATGTTCATGATGGTTCATGTGATGATGTTTTTTTTTGTCACTATGCATGGCTCATAAATGTTCATAGGCTTGGTAACTTGGTAGTAGGAAGTGCAGAAACATGAGTGGTACTAGTGCAAAGTCAACAACAAAATCGTAGTTGCAACAAACTATTAAAACAAAATAAAACCAAAACAAATTACTATAATTACTCAGGGAAACTGCACTGGATTCCACCATCTTCCAAGAATTGGGTTTGGAACTGGAACATATTTGTGAAACAATGTGCAAATGGCGGTTGCGACTCGTGATCGACATCCGCATATAACCATACCTGATCTTGTATGGATGCAAGAACAACGACAAATTGCGGCGATGAAAAAACAACCACCATAATCCAAAAATGGACCCAGCTGCATCCAAGAAACAAACTGGGCTTGATGTTTGTTGGATAAGAAGAAACTCCTCAACCGCCTTCTGAGTTCATGTGGTAAACCCTGCTCCTGCCAGCCGAAAAACAATTTTTAAACGGCTTTTGACTGGCGCGTATGTGTATACCTAGGCCTTCTGGCCGTAATTTCAGCCCGATGCTATTTATTGCTATTCAGGCTGGACATTTTAGCATGTTTTGAGTTCATCCTGTTAGGTTCCCGAAGCTTCAAACTCTGCATTTGGAACTTTTCGGGGATTGAAAATCATCATTTAGATCCTTCCATAGCTTCAAACTCTTTATTTGAAAGTGTTCGGAGCTTCGAATCTTCAATGAAACAAATGGTTTCAATATTTTGATCATTACTCTTTTGTAGTTTCTGAACTTACGCTCACTGGCTCATCAAATTACAGAGTCATCTCCTTAAAAAGTTCTTAACAAACTTGACTTGTTTCATATTTGTGCTATTGTTTAATGAGAAATCTACGTTATCTTTGGTTGCTAGCCTGTCAACTAATCTGATGTCATTTCAATGAAGCAACCTTCTATATCATTTCGCTCCATCATTGGTGCGGCCACTCTGCTCTCATCAAGCTGCTTAGGGTATTTAGTTGCAGTTCGAGACTAAAGAATTGTCATGTCTAAGTTGACTTCAAATAACCAACAATAGCGCCATGGCTTTCCAAAGTTCAGAACAAAAGATTGCAATGGATAACAAGGTGCAATGATTACTTCCGTTTCATGTGCATCACATAGGTTGGAACGTTTTACATGTGAGAAGAGTCACCTGCTGCATGCCCCTCCATGATTACTGTTAACTTGTGAGGTCATATACACTTGATTACAGAACCTGGATGAGTCATTGAGATCTACGCTCAAACACTTTGCTGAACTAGATGAAACAAGAATCAAATAAAGTTAAATAGGGATGTAGCAGGAACAAAGTAAACTACAATATGAAACACAACAAATCTTTCTAAAGCAAAGTGCCATGAATATAAACATCCCGGCGGAATTTTTACCGTCCGCATAATTAGCACAAATTCATGGTTTCGCCATAGCGAAACGTCAATTGTGATGCAAAAATAGGGGTCTCCGAACTTGAGGGTTTAACTTTTCCATCGACAAACCTCTCAGCGTTTTTTTTCTTCAAGAGGCCCGAAGTCGAATCAAGACAGTTGCTTGATGTACGCCGCAGTTGTCTTCAACAACTCGCGTGGGTTTTCCCAGCGCCATTGGAACGATCTGACATATCGAAATATTTCGCGATTCACTTTCATGGAGCCTTTTGTGGAGGGGATATTGTTTGGGACCGAATCCTTACACAATTTCCACCAGTGTGGAAGTTGCAGAAGAACTGGCAGTGGCGTAGCATCACGTATGTGTGGAAGTGCCAATGAACGTTAACATCCCACCCCACCCCACCCCACCCCAACGTAGCATCACGTATGTGTGGAAGTTGCAGAAGAACGGGCAGAGGCGTAGCATCACGTATGTGTGGAAGTTGCAGAAGAACGGGCAGTGGCGTAGCATCACGTATGTGTGGAAGTGCCAGTGAACGTTAACATCCCATCCACCCCACCCCACCCCAACGTAGCATCACGTATGTGTGGAAGTTGCAGAAGAACGGGCAGAGGCGTAGCATCACGTATGTGTGGAAGTTGCAGAAGAACGGGCAGTGGCGTAGCATCACGTATGTGTGGAAGTGCCAATGAACGTTAACATCCCACCCCACCCCACCCCATCAAAATCTATGCGGTTTGCTGGACGGTAAAAATTCCGTCAGCATAAACATGTATATGTAATACAAGCAACATAAACTGTCAAACAACAGCTAAAATTGCGTGAAACAAATGCCCTTACAGGGTATCACTCTCCATTTTCGTTGCATGTTTTGCCCGTGCATGGGTCAAAATTGGGGCAGCCCCCCACCCAGAAACTGGCATGATGTCGACGTACTCTGTTTGCCAATTGACCTATAACGTCAACACTGAAGTCGAAAAGTAACAGTTGACCGATTACATTAAAAAACCCAACAGTAGCGACATACATTGTGAACTTTGAAAGAACATCAAAACATAAAAACGCATTTACAGGATGTAGCTTGATGATGTTTGATGATGCTTTCCTGAAATTTTACAGATTTCCAACTCTTCTGTATGATTAACCAATCTATTTACAAAACCATCTTTTGGTATGTGACAGTGAAAACGTGAGCTCCTGCATCATCTTGTTCAATCCATTCATCATCTTGCGGAAGCCTCGGCGGCCATGGGGTCAGGGTCTCATGGACATGAAACATGTTTTTACTCACCGGATAGTCCTGTTGATTGTGCAGTTGTCAAATGTCATTTATTCTGAAGACGTACATTGAATAAACATGAAATTGATCTAATTACTCCACATGAATGCAATTCATAAATGCGTATCAATTCTCTACACTCATCTATACCCTTTATATAACCCCCGCAGCCCCTGACGAATCTTCGCCTCCCTGCCCCAAGGCCAGACTTAAGTCCCCGAGTCCCCGAGCTTTGCTTCTCGGCGTTCATGTCGGTCACGATGGCCCCAACTTCGCCCAGAATGTAGGCCCAGCAAAGTCCCGCCACCAACACGATGACTGTGCAGGTGATCCGTTCGAAGATGTTCCTGGGCTGGATGGTCGTCCAGTGGGGGGACTTCCAGAAAATTCAACCAAATGGTGTGCTTACATGTGTGCAATGCGTCGATGACCCACGGCATGGAGATGCTGGGCCTTCCCAGTTATGACGCCAGCTCATTACCGCCACGATGCTGTGGCCCGATGTCGCCGTAGCCCACCGACGTCATGGTGTAACTGCAAAAATAAAATGCCGCAGCGTAAATCCCTGGCCGCGAGCGGACAGTGCCATGGGGACCCGAAAAATCATTGCCCCTGACATGCTCCATAGGGGTAACCCCCTATGTAACAAAAGGGGGGGGCCGTGAACATGAGACACAGGATCATGTATACGCATACGATCTGTATGTAATACATCTATGTTTGTTAGTTGGCCCTGGTTTAGTATATAACAACTCAGTATATATATATATATATATTTAATACTATAAATATACTACATATACAAATAGCTGGTGAATTGAATTTGCCAAAGCGCTGATCTCGGACTCGTAGGTGTTGATGCCAAAGGTTCTGTCGATTTCAGCAATGCCGTCGATCCACTTGGGATAATAACCTGAAAATGGACCGAAGACTTGTTCTTTGCGTCGAAACACCATCCCTTTTCAGCAAATTGGGAATCCTGACCCCGGCCATCCCAGGCCCATTCCTATGATAATTTATGAATATGGTGAATGATTTCTGAGGATCCTTAGTCAACAAAACATAACAAAACCATATCTTCCTGCCCTGCTAGCGCACCAAAAATGTCACACCCAGCAGCTGTCGGCCAAATTCAAGGTCATGGCCCATAGGCAAGCCATCCAGTGACACACCTTGGCCCATGTCCCAGCGGATGGAAGAGAATGAAAACAGGAGTTGTAAAGAATAAAATCCAGTTTTCATTCGTGAAGACAGGTACCACATGGTACCACCTCATCTTTGGGAACTAAATTTAGGTTTCAAATCTCATGAGGAATAAAACCTCCAGTTCAAAGCGCTGTCCTGTCACTCTGATGCAAAGAATTAAAACTAGGTTCAATAGATGGAAAGGGTCCAGTCTATATGACCATGTATGATCTCAAGAAATAAATCAAAAATTAATTCTGTGTAACTCTTGTTTTAATCTTTTTCGATGGCCTCCCAAGGAGGTAGCTGCCATGGATGGACCCATTTTTGGATGGCCTCCCTATGAAAGATTTCAATAGATTATGGATTTCTGAAAATTCCAGCTGCCCAGCACCGAAACAAAATGAAACAAACATCTAATTCAATGAACATGCATACAGTGCCAACCATCGAGCCAATTTTCGCTGCAAACTCTTTGCAGGCACCTTGCTCTTGTCACCACTTTTGTCGACAAGGCACAAGAATTAAAATCAGAAGAAATCGGATGAGCGCCATCTGCTGATAAGGTATCGACAGGGCAACTTCCAGTTTGTGAATCCTCCGCTTGGGCCATGGGGTCGGAGATCATATGATTTTTGGGTGGGATAATTGATTAGGTGATTAGGTAATTTTCGGAATAGTGCTACGCGGCTATACGTGTACCACATTGGCTCTCACATGTTGGGTATTGTTTCCATATGCAATTTGTTCGAACCCTTTGGAGCTTCCCCCTCAACGGTGACCACCGCCAATAATGGATGGCTAAGCTTCGCACTTCTTAACGCTTGTTGCAGGTTAACAAACCCTATCCATAAGCCCAAATATCATTTTTGGGGGTAGCCTGGCTTAGAGGGGATTGGTTGAACCCGCATGGTAACAACAAGTATTGTCTATCAAAGTCAGCTGCATCCAAGGAACAGTTTGGAGGTTCGGAAGATTCGCATCAGTTTCCTAAGTGACTGCATTGGAAACTGA